ATATCAAAGGCAGTTGATATACTTAGCTAAAATAATCCAGATGGACGCTTGCTCTTCATCCATTGTCAGAGGGAGATCATTGACCAACAAGAAAAAAGAAGACTCCATGCCATAGCCAGAAGGCAGGAATATGTCCACTACTTACATAAATACTAAAGAACAACAACACGGTGTTCCACAACTGGAAAAAGCTTGAGTCATCTGCCATCTCTTGCAGGCAGTTAAGTTTGGGCCGCTGGCCCCTGATAATTTCTCTCCACAGTGGAAAAAGCCCGGAAAGCCATATGTTTCCTCTTATGTGACGAAGGCCGCATTTGAAGACTATTTTATATATACACATTTCATCACCTTGATGGTGTCACATGCAAGCTATTGCCTTCCAATATCTGCTTGCCTGAAAGGGCAGGCAGCAACACAGATATAATCATGTCAGGGTCTAAACAGCATGGAGTCTGCAATGGAATATCGAATCGGGCTAATCTTTTAGAATTCTTTGAATATGTTAATAAAATAGTGGATAAAAAATAACCAGCTGACACAATTTATTTAGACTTACAAAAGACATTTGACAAAGTTGCATGCAGGCAACTAAAGAAGCTAAGTAGTGTTGAAGTGACAGGCAAAGTATTGTCTTGGAACAAAAACTGTCAACGAGACAGAAACCAAAGGTTGGTGGTCAAGTTGTATCATGGCAAAAGTTAACAGGGGTTCCTAAAGGTTTTGAACTAGGTTTTGTGTTGCTTAATATTTAATTACCTGGAAGGAAATGAAATAAATTCAGGTATCAAAATCTGTAGATGACACAAACTTATTTAGGTTAGTCGAAAGCAAAGCAGACAGTGAGGAACTTCACAGAGATCCCAACAAGCTAGGTGAATGGACAACAAGATGGCAAATGAAACGTAATGTTAACAAATGCAAAGGAAAGCATATTGGAGGAGGGAAAATAAACTACACCTACACCTTATAAAGTTCTAAATGAACTGTATCAACCCAAGACAGGGACTGTAGACAGCTTAATAAAAACCTCTGCTCAATATTCAGCTGCCGTCAAAAAGTCAACAAGATATTAGGATGCACCAAGAATGGGATAGAGAATAATATGGAAAATATTATAAGTCTTTACATAAATCAATAGTGTGGCCTCATTTGGATACTGTGTGTAGCACTAGCCACCTAATCTCAAAAAAATATATTGCACAACTGAAAGACGTTCAGAGAAGGGTGAAGAGAATGGTCAAGGCCCTGGAAAAGGTCTTATGTTAAGAGAGATGGAAAAGATTGGGATTGTTTACCTTAGAAAGGAGATGATATAAAATAAGAAATAGTCTAGAAAAGGAACCTCTGTTCTCCCTGTCTCATAACACAAGAACAAGGGGATATTAAATTAAATTAAGAGGTAGGACATTCAAAACCAATATAAGGAAATACTTTTTCACATAAAGTGTAATTAGACTGGGGAACCTGTTGCCACAGAAAGTCCTTGAGACCAAGAATTTAACAAGATTAATAAAGATGTTGGATATTTATATGGATATCAAGAATAGCCAATTATTATAATTAATGCCACAACGTTTCTGGGAGGGCTATTAAACCATTTGCTTCAGGGTTTAAGACAATCTCTAATTATTAGAGATCGGAATGATACCTAAAAGTGGGGTAGAATATCCCACATATGCCTCTTGTGGGGTTCTTATACCGTCCTCTGAAGCATCTACTACTCGCTACCGTCAGAGACAGGATACTGGACTAAATGTCCCTTTGGTCTGATCCAGTCTGGCAATCCCAATGTTCCTGTGATCTTACTCTATATTAGTTTAATTTATATTTTATCCAACTTTCAATTCTGTAAAATTTGTTAGAAAAATGGTCCTATATTTTGCTCGGGACGGGGGTTAAGCCAACATTAATTATTCTTACTAGCATATACCCATAAAATTTATAAAGAACTATGACCAATAATATGACCAAAGACAGATCATTTTCCCTGACCCAATATCAGACAAGAAGTAAAATCTGGAAAACAACAGTTGAAATGACTCAGGTATATGGATGTACAATCAGCGGAAACAAATAGACAATAAAAACAATCTGCTCTCTTTAATCACTCTGAAATAAATTTCAAAAAAGCATTCCATTGGAGTAAATAATGGTGATACCTTTCTTTAAAAAGTACATGCTCCTCTTCATAAGATTAGTTAGTGTTCATTACCATGGGATAATAGCTGAATATTATAGGGAATGCTAATCTATATCACACCTGATAGAACAATACAGTTGGGAGATAACTGGAGGAGGGGCATTAGCTGTTATTAATCAAACATCTAAGACCTATAAGTAGAGTCCCTATGATTCTAGTGACCAGCTTGTAGTGCCAACAGATAATACTAATCTATTTTAGTACTTTTTTACTGTGAGCAAGACGAGTTATTTCAGAAATACACCTTGAATATAGGGTAATATTATTAAATGATTTTGTTCACCATGCTCCACTGAAACCTCAAGTGATTTAAGTGTAATAAAGGACTCTGGAACTATAATTAAGAAACAAATATAATTTTAAAAAACTGTTTCCGGGATGGTATTCCTATACTTAATTGTAAGGAAAATATACCATCTAATAGGTAAAAGAGAAAAGTGATAAAACTCCAGTAGGACAGCATAGCTACCATAAGGGAACCAAAGAGAAGAAAGGTGCCCTTGAGGTTAAAGACACATGCTAAGAAATCTGATTTCTCTTTCTGTGCTATCTTCTGCGAATCATTGCATGTTTCTGTCTGAGTTCCCCATCTTCAACTGGAAAAACCAATATCACAGATGCGCTGAGATACTTAATTATTTAGAAATCCCCAGAAGGAATTCACCGGAGTATTGTTATTTCATTTATTTATACATATGTTTGCAAGTTTATTAGTAATCGAATAGAGTCTAAAAGACACAAGGCACAGGAAGGGTCACCACTGAAAAAGAATAAGTTATAAAATAGTCATCATTGCTGTATAGAATGTATTGACTAGGCACTGAAAATTGCTGACACCGACTCAATGTTGTATCACTGAGAAGGGCAAAATAAGAGGAGAGTGACGCTGGTGTAAATTGTGGGAAATTGGTTCCATATAAATCAACGGGAATTTACAGAAGATGAATAATCGTGATGTAGGATTTTCTGCCTTGCAGTTTGGAAATTACATTTGAAAGAGCGGAGCGCCGAGTCCAGAATGCGTCTGGGGTCTCCATATAAAATATAAAGAGGACCATTTTCATCGCCATTCCAATTTCTTACATTAATTCAAACTAAATGGGAGATGAGGGGGAGGAATTCACTATTGACACAGAATAACACTCCCCTGAGCCATTTTTCCTGCCTGTGGCAGAAACGTTTGGAAGACTTTGACAAGAATTCGTATTAATTTTAATTGACCTTTTCTAAAATATTTAGAAACTTTCAAACAGCCTTAAATTCTCTCCCAAATTAGAAAACGATCAGATAATTTCAGACAAAAAAAAGAACAATGTCACTAACCGTTCCACAGAGTTTCGGCGTCATCGCCTGATGTTTCTCTTTGTCCCCGTTCTCTGCGGAGTTAGGAAAATTGGGGCTGAAAACCATGAGGTCATTCTTAGTGGTGCCGTCCCCTACACACAAGTTCCGGCTCTGGCGCTGGGAATAGGACCAACTCCCCACTTCGCTCGAGCACACCACGGTGGCTTTCCCAGGCCCGCACATCACTTCCGGACCCGGGTGGCATCTCAGGCCGACGTACACGACAATCACCAGCACAAACAGCCCGGACACCGAGCAAATGGCGATCATTAAAGAAACGTTCATATCAACCAAGGGCCCTTCGCTCCTGCCCCTTTGCCTCGAGTCCCATTTCACAGCCTGGGGACTCTCCACCAGGGACAGGCTGACAGTGACTGTCACTGACAGCGCCGGCTCCCCGTGGTCCTTCACCAGGATCACGAGTCTCTGGCTGGGGCCGTCCGCCTCCTCCAAGGCCCGT